CCTCAGAGTTTAGTCCCTCAGAGTTTAGTCCCTCAGAGTTTAGTCCCTCAGAGTTTAGTCCCTCAGAGTTTAGTCCCTCAGAGTTTAGTCCCTCAGAGTTTAGTCCCTCAGAGTTTAGTCCCTCAGAGTTTAGTCCCTCAGAGTTTAGTCCCTCAGAGTTTAGTCCCTCAGAGTTTAGTCCCTCAGAGTTTAGTCCCTCAGAGTTTAGTCCCTCAGAGTTTAGTCCCTCAGAGTTTAGTCCCTCAGAGTTTAGTCCCTCAGAGTTTAGTCCCTCAGAGTTTAGTCCCTCAGAGTTTAGTCCCTCAGAGTTTAGTCCCTCAGAGTTTAGTCCCTCAGAGTTTAGTCCCTCAGAGTTTAGTCCCTCAGAGTTTAGTCCCTCAGAGTTTAGTCCCTCAGAGTTTAGTCCCTCAGAGTTTAGTCCCTCAGAGTTTAGTCCCTCAGAGTTTAGTCCCTCAGAGTTTAGTCTCTCATAGTTTGGCGCCACACAGTGGACCAGACCAGACGAGCCATGAAAATGGGTTTATTTCGTCGATGTTTAAAACCGAACTATTACATTGCCTTTAGTTATTGTATACCTATTTGCATTTAAGATACACACTTGTTGAAAGGAAAAAGGGTAAAACAGACTTAAATACTGTACTCTAAGATTCGCCAGGTAGCCACCAACCTGGCAAAGCGCTTTTCGATTGACTGTTATAGCACACAATACCAAAGTTATCACAACAGTTAATCAGAACAAAGGTCAACAATAACCCAACAAGAACGCCTTCAAGTGGGAAATCGAGAGTGGCCTGGTTGCTGTTGGTTTTAGCTTTGTATGGAATAGACTGGGAGACTTGCGTGAGTTTTATAGCTCAATTACACGTTGAAGTTATGCAGGAGAGTGCATTCCAAGATTACACTCTTTTCAAAATTCCTCAGATGCCGTGAGTTAGTTGACTGTAAGTTGCCGTTAGGTTTTTAAAAGAAGTTTGACTTCAGAAGAATTGTTATATCGCTGTCAGTAGAGGTGTGGTATTTCAAATATGAACATAGCTCATTCCGAGGAGTTTTGGTTTCTTCCTTGCAGTCGTTACACTATCGTCAAAACACACTTCGCAAGAAAAGAGAACTGGTAGCCAACTTTACAGGAAGAAGACAAGAAAGACCGGAACTTAGACCTGAGGTAAGCGTTAAATGACTTCCATCTTCCTACTGCCCTTTTACCCGTTCCCGTAAAAACTCCTCTTTAATCTAGCGATTATTTTTCTGAAATTAATCAAATTAGAGACCAAAGAAAGCAATGCAGAAGGTACAAGATATATGAAATTATTTTGTGGTATGGTATGCAGGGTTGTCTTGTTCACGAAGTTCATATGCCGATACCCATGCCGCTTCTTTTTAAAGGAATTGTTCCTGGCCGCCTTTTCGTGTTCTCAAGTGTTGGTGCTTCAGGGAGTTGCGCTTTTACTGTACTTCATTCTAGTGCTTACCTGGCTTTAATTTTTTTTTTCTTTTTTTTTTTTTTTTTTTTTTTACTTTTAGGATCTTGACATTCCAGATGTTCCTGTTGTGGTAAGCGTGATTACAATCCGCAATTCGAAATGTCGGCCGAGAAAGCGCCCAAGAAAGTGATGAGATCAACGAAAGAATAACATTGAACGGTCATTAGCTATACAGCCATATCACAATTCGAGCGTCCACAACAATATTAGACATCACAGCGGTAAAACGCGTGCATGTGCAAAATCGTCAATTTTGACCAGCCTTACCCAATTTCTTGTTTAAAGTAAGTAGTGTTGAGGGGCGGTAGGGAGGAGAGCCAATCAGTTTGCATTCAATCAGTCAATCAGACTGCCATCTAATTGGTCAAAATTTGAAATACTGCAATCTGGTTGGCTTTCCTCCATACCGTCCACTATTACTACTAAAGTTATAAAGGAAAATATAAGAAACACTCGGATCGTTACGATGTTTAGATTCACAGTTAGGGTATTATAAGGTTGATTGTGATGTTTGTGCCATTCGCGATGAGAGTACCATGATGTCATCTGTGTTTAGAGGAAACGCAAAGGACGTGCACCACGTCCCATTGAAGAGGCTCGTGCAATGAGAAGAGCGACTCAGAGAAAATTCAGGGAGAAAAAACGTGCGGAGAGACGAGAAGAAGAAAGAATCAGAGCCGAGGAGGAAAGAGCTGAAAAAGAACGCAAAACCAAGACGACCAATAATGGTGATAGCGACCTTCGTGAATCAGAGAGAATAAGGGCTTCGGAAGAAAGACCTGGAAAGGAATATCAAGAAGGGCAACAAGAGGCGAATACTGGCATTGGAGAGGACAAGTTCCCGCGCACGAGGAAAGCGGTTGGTTAACAGTGTTCTTATCAAGTTTTGCATATTTGTTCACCGTTAATTCTCACAATCTGATTAGTAATTGTCGCTTCTAGCCGGCTCATATTTCTTTGTTATTTAGTTTCCTCTCCAGGCATTATCTCCAAACACGTAAAAAAAAAAAAAAGAGAGAGAGAGACAAAGCTATCAATAAGGGGTGGTTCCTTGATAATACATCAACCTCTATGCAAATTACAAAGAAACAAACAGCATCTTAAACAGAGAATCATGAAGTAGTTATTGCAGAGGAAGCGTTTAAAGAATTATCTAGATACATGGTTCGTACAATCTTGAAAAGGTCTTGAATTTTAACGGTCGTCTTGAAAAGTCCTTGAATTTGGTTAAGTCCTTGAAAAGTACTTGATTTCTTTAGTAGGTCATGAAAAGTCCTTGAAATTTAGCAACTTCTGTGCGCCTTATCGCTTTTCTGATAAATTAAACGATTTTGCTATGAAAAATTTGTCCACTAGTAACTACCAAAAAGCGAAAATGGTCGGTATAAAACGTGAGTGGTACATGAAGCAAAGTTGGATCTGTGCCTCAATTTCATGCGCAAGGCCTCCG